CTCTCTTAAAGTTTGATTTTTGAAGGGGGAGGAACCCAAATTAAAGCATCCTCTCCCCATAAAAAACAGCACCCCAAAAACATCCGCGGGGCCACAACTCTGTGGGGCCCCCGATTTTTTGGGGTCTCCCCGCTCCAAGGGGCGGCCTCCCATCAGGCCTTAAATTGAGGGGGGCGGGGGGAAGTTCCTCCACCCAGGGTGGAATTTGGGGGGGCACGGGGGTTCCCCCCAAAACCCGGGGGGTGACGCCCCCCCCGCCCTGCTGAGAAGGGCCCCCTCCCCCCCGCCCCCGCGCCAAGTGGGGTTCGGGCGGTTTTGGGGCAGCCCCGCAGGGGTTAAAGTGCCACATTGGCAGCGCGGGGGGGACGCGGGGGGACGCGGGCGCGGCCACGACTGGAACCAGTTAGGCCGAGGAACTGGGAGGGGGGAGGACACAGGAGGAGGCAACGCACCACTGGCAGAGGTGGAAGGGGGGGGATTTAGGGGCTTTTTAGGGGATTCTCCCCTCCCACCCTGTTTGCGCCCAGATTGACACGCGGAGGGCTCCTGTGGGACCCCCAGGACCCCCCTCATGGGCACTCCCAAAACCGGGTGCCTTTTTCTACCCTCACAAAGAGGTCTGTGACCCCCCCCAAAATAACAAGGTTCGGGGTCCCTGAGCCCCTCCAAAGCAGGGTCCGGGGCCCCCGACTCCCCCAAGAGCGGTTCTGTGTGGTCCATGTCCCCGTGCCCCCCCAATACCGGGTCTCTATTGCTGCCCCCCAAAGGGCTCCGGGACACCGCGACCACCCCAAAAACAGGCTCCAGGTCCCTGGAGCCCCCAAAGCGGCTCCCCCAGCGCGGCCCCCACGTCCCTGTGCAAAACGGGCCTGGGACCCTGCCCCCCCACAACCCGGGACCCTCCTGGGGAGAATTTGGGGATGTGCCCCCCCCCCCCACGCACTCGCCCCCCACCGCGCACACGCCCCCGGCCACCCCCTCGCGTCATTCCCGCACACGCCCAGGCCGCTCTGGCACCCACGCGCGTCACTGCCGCCACCCCCCGCGTCACCCCCGGGTCACCCTCGCCCCCTCCCACGCGCGTTCACACCCCCGGGCGCGCTCTCCACCCCAGCTCCCGGCGCACCCACGCACCCACTCGCGGACACGGGGCCGCCCCCGCACCGCCCCGCCGGCTCACGCAGCCTGGCACCCGCTCTCACACTCGCTGGCACACTCGGGTTCACTCTCGGAGACCCCACCCCACGGCCCCGACCCCCCCCACGCTCCCCACACCCACTCGCAGCCGCCCCCGCGGGGGCACAACCGGCGCACGCTCGCCTCCTGTGCACACGCACTCGCTCGTTTGGGCACCCGAGGGTCTCCCGGGCACCCCTCGCACCCACTCTCGACACGAACACCCCCCACGCACCCACCCGCACTCGCTCTCACACCCATTTGCACGCTCAGTTCACACCTGGCCGCGCTTCCCCGCCCCCCTCAGCCCCACACCCACTCGCGAACGCTCCCACCCCTCGGGCGCTCCCGATCCCCCTCAGCCCCCTCGCCCCCGCAGGGATTAGGGCGGGGGCTGGATGGGGGCGGGGCTTCGGTGGGAGGAGCTGAACTGAGAGGGGAAACAGGGCGGGGCCTGGAGGGGCGGGGTAGTTTGGAATGTGAGGGCTGAAATGTGGGAGGGGCTTAAATGGGCGGGGCTAAATTGGGCGCAGGGCCTGGGCTAAGAGGGCGGGGCTCGGAAGGGGCGGGGCCTTGAGTGGCTTGACTGAATAGGAACGAGGCGTGGCCTCGGGGATGGGCGGGGCGGAGTTGATTTGAATGGGGCGTGGTCTGAGTGAGGGGCGGAGCTCGTGGGCGGGGCTGGATGGGGAATGGGCGGGGATTGGAGCAGAGGGTGCGGCCTGGGGCACGCCGTGTCGTGTACACACGTGTCACATGTGTCACACGGTATCAGACGTGTTTGTCCCCTCCGTGTGTCCTCCCTCCCTGGGGGGTACCCAGGCCACGTCCCCTGTCTCCCCCAACGCCTCCCAGTCCTCCCCGTCCCCGCGTTACGCCCTCCCCAGTCCCTCCCAATTCCACCCCGTGCACTCCCAGTCCTCATGTCACCACCCGTCTCCCCAGTCCTCCCAGTCCTCCCAGTTCTTCCAGTCCTTTCCAGTTCCCCTGTCACTACTCCAGCCCTTCACAGTCCCTCCCAGTCCCCTTGTCACCCTCCCAATCCCTCCCAGTCCTGCCAGTTCTGCCAGTCCCCCACATCATTTTCCCAGTCCTTCCCAGTCCCTTCCAATCCCCTTGTCACTCCCCCGTGTGCCCACTGTGCACAGGTGTGTGTCAGCATGCCCAGGTGTGTTTGAGCATACCCAGGTGTGCACAGGTGTGAGCGAGTGTGCGCAGCCGTGTCTGGGTGTGCCTGGGCACCTCCGGGTGTGCGAGGGCTGTGCCAGCACCGCCTGCCCAACTGCATTTCTGCATGAGTAACACACCTGCACTCGGGATCACTGCACAGGTGACATACCTGTACACAGGATCACTGCACAGGTGACACACCTGCACTCGGGATCACTGCACAGGTGACATACCTGTACACAGGATCACTGCACAGGTGACACACCTGTACACAGGATCACTGCACAGGTGACACACCTGCACTCGGGATCACTGCACAGGTGACATACCTGCACACAGGATCACTGCACAGGTGACACACCTGTACACAGGATCACTGCACAGGTGATCCTGTGTACAGGTGTCACCTGTGCACTCGGGATCACTGCACAGGTGACACGCCTGCACACAGGATCGCTGCACGTGTCCCACACCTGCACATGGGATCACAGCACAACGCACACACCTGTACATAGGATGGTCACGTGTCACTGCGTGTGTCACACGCCTGCACATGGGATCACAGCACAACGCACACACCTGTACATAGGATGGTCACGTGTCACTGCGTGTGTCACACGCCTGCACATGGGATCACAGCACAACGCACACACCTGTACATAGGATGGTCACGTGTCACTGCGTGTGTCACACGCCTGCACATGGGATCACAGCACAACGCACACACCTGTACATGGGATGGTCACGTGTCACTGCGTGTGTCACACACCTGCACATGGGATCACTGCACATGTCACACACCTGTACACGGAATCACTGCACAGATCACACACCTGTACATGGGATAGTTATATGTTACTGTGTGTGTCATACACCTGTACACGGGATCACTGCACAGGTCACACACCTGCACATGGGATCACTGCACGTGTCACACACCTGTACACGGGACCATTGCACAGGTGACACACCTTCACACAGGATGGTCGTGTGTCACTGTGCATGTCACACGCCTGCACACGGGATCACTGCACGTGTCACACACCTGTACACAGGACCATTGCACGGGTGACACACCTTCACACAGGATGGTCGCGTGTCACACGCCTGCACATGGGATGGTCACATCTCACTGCATGTGTCACACACCTGTACACAGGACCATTGCACGGGTGACACACCTTCACACAGGATGGTCGCGTGTCACACGCCTGCACACAGGATGGTCACATCTCACTGCATGTGTCACACACCTTTGCCCAGCCTCCAGCGTGCAGACGCATGTCTGGGCATGGGGACACATGTGCGGGGTGTGTCCCTGCACGTCACATGCATGCACGCACGCGTCCCCATGCCCGGACACACATGTAACCCCCCCCAGCCGCACCTCTCCCTCCGTTCCGGGAAAGGGGAGGGAGGGGCAGGAATGGGCTCATGGAAAAAGTTTTGGGTGGAAATTCCTCTCCCCGCCCCTCCCCCACGGCGGCTCAATGGCCCCTTTGTGCGGCCCCGGCCCTGCCCCCGCCACGCTGGGACCCCCCCCACCGTGTGTCTGGCCCAATCCCCCTGTCCCCCGTTTGTCCCCCCATGTCTCCCCACAGCCCCCACGGCTCCACAATTCCCTGTGAGCCCCCATCGTGTCCCCACCACGTCCCCCCGTGTCCCGCATGTCCCTAACCTGTGTCCCCCCCAGCAGCCTCCCCCCGCAATCCCGCTGCCCCCCAAGTCCCCGTAACCCTGGGTCCACCCAACCATGTCGCCCTATGTCTTTCGTGTCCCCTGTGACCTCCATAAACCCATGTCCCCAATGTTCTGCGTGTCTCCCCATGGCCCCCGTGTCCCTCATGCTGCCCCATGTCCCATAACCCCTTCCTCCCCCCAATCGTGTCCCCCCGGTGTCCCCTGTCCCCCACGTCCCCTGTGCCCTACCCTGTCTCCATAATCCTGTGTCCCATGTCCCCTGTACACCCCTATGTCCCCTGTGTCCCCCCCAGCTGTGTTCCCCATGTCCCCAGCATCCCCCGTGTCACCGTGCCCCGCCATGTCCCTGGGCCCCCGCATCCCCCCCAAGCTCATGTTCCCTGTCCCCAGTTTCCTCCAGGACCCCGGTGCCCCCCCGTGTCCCCCCCCCCGGCCCCGCCTGAGCGTCAAGTGAGGGGGGCCCGGCCCCCCCCGCGCCGCAGCACGGAGCCCCGGCGGTGAGTGAGGGGCGGGCAGGGCAGCCCCCGCTAACGGGACACGGAAAGGGGGCACCGGGGGCACCGGGGGTACCGGGGGGTGGGTCACCGGGGGCTTTGCTCGGGGGTTTGCTCCAGGCTCCCGGCAGGAGCTCTCTGAGGGCGGGGGTCCCCACACCTCCCGTGCGTGGCGGGGGCTGTTCTTCGGGCTGGGGATGCCGCAAACCCCCCGCGGGGGGTGCTCTGGGGAGCGCTGGGGGTCTCCACAATGCCCCGTGCGTTGTGTGGGGGTCCCTTGGGAGGGTCTCCACCAGTCCCCGCGGTCTCTGGGGGTCTCTGGGGGTCTCTGTGGACGCCTCTGGGGAGCCTGGGGGGCCGTGGGCTCCCTGTGTCACGTGACACGGGCCAACATGGCGGCGCCCATGGGACCGGAAGCGGAAGTGGCTTCGCAGAGGCACCGCGGGGCAGCTGCGACGGCGCCGGGGTCCGGGGGTATGGGGGGGCCCTGAGGGATCCGGGGGTTACCGGAAGGGGTGCAGGGGCTTCGGAGGGTCTGAGAGGTGTCTGGGGAGGTCCTGCGGGGCAACTCTGGGGTCGCGGGGGGGCTATGGGAGTGGAGGGGGCGCTGTGTGGGGCTGTAGGGGGTGTATGGGGGGCTTCAGGAGGATTTGGGGTGCGAGGGTCCCATGGGAGGGGGTGTGGGGGTTCTGTGAGGATCTTATGGGGAGTCTATGGAGGTCCTATGTGGAGCGTGTGGGGGCGGCCTGTTGGGGGGTCCTCTGGGGGTCTGTGGGGGGTTGTGGGGAACTCCGGTGGGGGTTTGGGGTCTATGGGGGCTCTGTGGGGTCTGGGTGGGCTTGGAGGGGTGGTGCGGCCTGTGGAGGAGCTGTGGGAGACTGTGTGGTGTACCAGTGATGCTGTGGGTCCCTATGGGGTGGGGTGTCCCTATAGAACCCATGGGCTGTCTGGGGAATTTGGGGCTCCTGGGTGGTCTCTCTGGACTCTCCCAGCTCCTCGTAGTGCTGATCTCCCTCTTTCCTTCCCCAGGCTCTCCTGAGCCCCCTCCCCACCATGTTCCTGCTGCCCTGCTCTGCCCTCGCCCTCCTCCTCCTCACCTGCCTGGCTCTGGAGCCGCCCCCGCGCCGCCCCCCGCCCTCCAACCCCGCGTTCCGCGGCTTCCAGCGGCAGTTCCTGCTGGGATACCTGCCGGCGCTGGCTGCCGACTGGCTGCAGGGCCCGCTGCTCTTCCAGCTGCTGCACGGCCGGGGCTTCCTGCGCAGCCAGATCGCCGCCCTCTACTCCTGCGGCTTCGCCTCCAACGTCGCCTTCGGCCTCGTCTCCGGGGTTTTTGTGGATCGGCTGGGCCGCAAGAAGTCCTGCGTGCTGTCCTCGGGGCTGTGCTCCGTGTCCTGCCTGCTGCAGCTCTCCCAGGATTTCTTGGCGCTGGCAGCTGCCCGGGTGCTGGCGGGGCTCGGCACCTCCCTGCTCTTCTCCGCCTTCGAGTCCTGGTACGTGCACGAGCACCTGGAGCGCCACGACTTCCCGGCCGAGTGGATTCCCGACACCTTCTCCCGCGTGGCGCTCTGGAACGGCGGCCTGGCCGTGGCGGCGGGGCTGCTGGCCGAGCTGCTGGCCGAGGGGCTGGCGCTGGGCCCCGTGGCCCCGTTCCTGGCGGCGCTGCCCTTCCTGGCTCTCTCGGGGATCTTCGCCGGGAAAAACTGGGATGAGAACTACGGGAAGAGCCGGCCCTGCGGGAAGGCCTGCGGGGAAGGCCTGCGGGGCCTCGTATCCGAGCCGCGGGCGCTGCTCCTGGGGCTGGTGCAGGCCCTGGTGGAGAGCATCCTGCTCATCTTTGCCTTCCTTTGGACGCCCGTCCTGGAGCCGCACGGGATCCCGCTGGGAATCGCCTTCTCGGGCTTCACGGCCGCCGGCGCCGCGGGCTCGGCGCTGTTCCGGCGCGGCGTCACCGGGAGGCTCCGGCTGCAGCCGCTGCGGCTCCTGCCCGGCTCCGTCCTGCTGCTGGCGCTGGCCCTTCTGCTCCTGGCCCTGCCGCTGGACGCCCCCGGCGACTTCCTCGCCGTGCTGCTGCTGCAGCTCTCCTGCGGGATCTACTTCCCGGCCATGGCGTTCCTGCGGCGCCGGCTGGAGCGCGGCGGGGACCCGGCGGGGGCGGCGCGGTGGCTGCGGTGTAATGGGGACAGCAGGGTGTGACAGGGACAGCTTGATGGGGACACTGGGGTGTGATAGGAATGGGGACACTGGGGTGTGACAGGGACAGCAGGACAGGTGTGACAGGGACACAGAGATGTGACAAGGAAAGGGAGACACTGGGATGTCACAGTGACAGGAGCACCAGCTCTATGGGGGCACCAGGGACACAGGGACAGCTTGATGGAGCACTGGGATTTGACAGGGACAAGGACAGTAACACCTGGCTGGGACAGGAACACTGGGACAGCTCAACAGGGACACCAGAGTGTGACAGGGTCAGGGACACAGGAAGAGCCCATGGAGTCACCAGGCAGTGATGGGGTCACAGTGTGACCCCTGTGCTGAGCTGTGAGTGACAGAAACAGACACCCATGGGGACACTGAGCACTGAGGGGCCACAGTGCCACCCACGATGGACTGTGGGTGACAATGACACCCCTTGAGGACACTGAACTGCAGTGGGTCACAGTGCCACCCCACGATGGACTGTGGGTGACAGTGACACTGGGACACCCGATCGATCATGACAAGGAACTGTGACAGTCACAGTGTCACCCCGTGGCTGAGCTGTGGGTAACAGTGACGCTGGGACACCCCACTGGTGATACTAAGCTGCAACAGGTCACAGTGTCACCTCCATGATGAAATATAGGTGACAGTGACACTGGGACACGCCGATGGTGACACAGAGCTCTGCTGGTGACCCGTTACCAGTGCCACCCCCACAAGAAGCTTGGGTGGCAACATGGGGACAGCCTGAGGTGACACTGAGCTGGACAGATCACGGTGTCACCCCCATGGGGGTGATGGGGACACCAGTACACCTCGGGGGCTGTGACAGGTCACAGTGCCACCTCCCCCACGGCACAGCAGAGGGGACATGGGGACACCAGGCCAGGTGTGCCCTGTGACCGACCCCGTGTGGTGTCATGGGGGTGGGGGGGTGTATTAATTACTTAATGAATTTCTAATAAACCCACCCAGTAGAGGTGTTTGTGAAGTCCTCCTCCTCTTCCTGCCCCCCAAACCTGGGTCTGGGGGACCCTGAAACCCCTCCAGAGCGGCCCCAGTGCAAACCAGTGACTCCCAGTCCAGCCATGTCTCCAGTGCAAGCTTTGCGCTGGTTTGACCCCAAGCTGAGCCCCCTCAGTGCCCCCAATATCCTCCAGTTCCCCCAGTCCTCCCAGTAACCCCCCCATTCCCGCAATTTTCCCAGTTCCCAGCTGTGTTCCTACTTCCCTCCGTTCCCCACAGTCCCCCCTTGCGCCTCTCGCCCCATCCCCGCAGCGTCACGTGACCTTGACGCGCACTCCTCGCTTTCCCCGCTAGGCTCCGCCTTCCGCCAGCTTCGTCTTCCGATTGGCTGAGGGAGCCGTCAGTCGTGGCGCAGCGGGTGGCGATTGGTCCGTGGAGCTCAATGGGCGGGCATAGGGAGGTGGAAGCGAGCGGCGCCCGGATGTGAGCGCGGCCCATGGAGGGGGCGGGACCCCCGGTAAGGGGCGCTGGGGGCCGGGGGGAGATTGGGGGGGTCCTGAGGAGCTTTGGG